AATAACACCCGGATGCCACCCACCCCAGTCCACTAACACCCAGGATGCCACCCACACCAGTCCACTAACACCCAGGATGCCACCACACACCAGTCCACTAATACCCAGGATGCCACCGACACCAGTCCACTAGCACCAGGATGCACCCACACCAGTCCACTAACACCCAGGATGCCACCCACACCAGTCCACTAACACCCAGGATGCCACCCACACCAGTCCACTAACACCCAGGATGCCACCCACACCAGTCCACTAGCACCCAGGATGCCACCCACACCAGTCCACTAGCACCCAGGATGCCACCCACACCAGTCCAATAACACCCAGGATGCCACCCACACCAGTCCACTAACACCCAGGATGCCACCCACACCAGTCCACTAACACCCAGGATGCCACCCACACCAGTCCACTAGCACCCAGGATGCCACCCACCAGTCCACTAGCACCCAGGATGCCACCCACACCAGTCCACTAACACCCAGGATGCCACGCACACCAGTCCACTAACACCCAGGATGCCACCCACACCAGCCCCACTAACACCCAGGATGCCCCCACCCACACCAGTCCACTAGCACCAGGATACCACCCACAATATCCACTACCACCCAGGATGCCACCCACACCAGTCCACTAACACCCGGATGCACCCACCCCCATCCACTAGCACCCAGGTGAAACCCACACCAGTCCACTAACACCAGGATGCCACCCACACCAGTCCACTAACACCCAGGATGCCACCCACACCAGTCCACTAGCACCCAGGATGCCACCCACACCAGTCCACTAACACCCAGGATGCCACCCACACCAGTCCACTAACACCCAGGATGCCACCCACACCAGCCCACCAACATCCAGGATGCCACCCACACCAGTCCACTAGCACCCAGGATGCCCCCACACCAGTCCACTAGCACCCAGGATGCCACCCACCCCATCCACTAGCACCCAGGATGCCACCCACACCAGTCCACTACACCCAGGTGCCACCCACACCAGTCCACTAGCACCCAGGATGCCACCCACACCAGTCCACTACCCCCAGGAGCCACCCAACACCAGTCCACTAGCACCCAGGATGCCACCCACACCAGTCCACTAGCACCAGGATGCCACCCACACCAGTCCACTAGCACCCAGGATGCCACCCACACCAGTCCACTAACACCCAGGATGCCACCCACACCAGTCCACTAGCACCCAGGATGCCACCCACACCAGTCCACTAGCACCCGGGATCCCACCCACACCAGTCCACTAGCACCTAGGATGCCACCCACACCAGTCCACTAGCCCCAGGATGCCACCCACACCAGTCCACTAGCACCCAGGATCCCACCCACACCAGTCCACTAACACCTAGGATGCCACCCACACCAGTCCACTAACACCCAGGATGCCACCACACAGTCCACTAAACCCAGGATGACCCCACCAGTCACTAACACCCGGATGCCACCACACAGTCCAAACACCAGGATGCACCACACCGTCACTAGCACCCAGGATGCCACCCCACCAGTCCACTAGCACCCAGGATGCCACCCACACAGTCCCTAGACCCAGGATGCACCCACACCGTCCATAACACCCAGGATGCACCACACAGTCCACTAACACCAGGATGCCACCCACACCAGTCCACTAACACCCGGGGATGCCACCCAACTAGTCCACTAACACCAGGACCCACCACACCAGTCCATAACACCCAGGATGCCACCCACACCAGTCCACTAACACCAGGATGCCACCCACACCAGTCCACTAACCCCCAGGATGCCACCCACACCAGTCCACTAACACCCAGGATGCCACCCACACCAGTCCACTAACACCCAGGATGCCACCCACACCAGTCCACTAACCCCCAGGATGCCACCCACACCAGTCCACTAACACCCAGGATGCCACCCCACCAGTCCACTAACACCCATCCCACCCACACCAGCCACTACCCCAGGATGCCACCCACCCCAGCCATGCACCCAGATGCCACCCATACCAGTCCACTAACACCCAGGATGCCACCCACACCAGTCCACTAGCACCCAGGATACCACCCACACCAGTCCACTAACACCCAGGATGCCACCCACACCAGTCCACTACCCACCAGGATGCCACCCACACCAAGCCCACTAACACCCAGGATGCCACCCACACCAGTCCACTAGCACCCAGGATGCCACCCACACCAGTCCACTAACACCCAGGATCCCAAACCCACACCAGCCCAAACTAGCTCCCAGGATGCCCCCCACACCAGTCCACTAGCACCCAGGATGCCACCCACACCAGTCCACTAACACCCAGGATGCCACCCACACCAGTCCAACTAACACCCGGGATGCCCCCCAACACCAGCCCACTAACACCCAGGAGCCACCCACACCAGTCCACTAACCCCCAGGATGCCACCCACACCAGCCCCACTAGCACCCAGGATGCCACCCACACCAGTCCACTAACATCCAGGTCCCACCCCACACCAGTCCACTAACCCCCAGGATGCCACCCACACCAGCCCCACTAGCACCCAAAGGATCCCACCCACACCAGTCCACTAGCACCCAGGATGCCACCCACACCAGTCCAATAACACCCAGGATGCACCCACACCAGTCCACTAACACCCCAGGATGCCACCCCACACCAGTCCACTAACACCCAGGATGCCACCCACACCAGTCCATTTAGCACCCAGGATGCCACCCACCAGTCCACTAGCACCCAGAATGCCACCCACACCAGTCCACTAACACCCAGGATGCCACGCACACCAGTCCACTAACACCCAGGATGCCACCCACACCAGTCCACTAACACCCAGGATGCCACCCACACCAGTCCACTAGCACCCAGGATAACACCCACACCATCCACTACCCACCCAGGATGCCACCCACACCAGCCCAAACTAACACCCAGGATGCCACCCACACCAGTCCACTAGCACCCAGGATGCCACCCACACCAGTCCACTAACACCCAGGATGCCACCCACACCAGTTTACCTGGAGTTTACCTGGAGAGAGTTTCGGGGGTCAACGCCCCCGCGGCCCGGTCTGTGACCAGGCCTCCTGGTGGATCAGCGCCTGATCAACCAGGCTGTTGCTGCTGGCTGCACGCAAACCAACGTACGAGCCACAGCCCGGCTGATCAGTCCACTAACACCCAGGATGCCACCCACACCAGTCCACTAGCACCCAGGATGCCACCCACACCAGTCCACTAACCCCCAGGTTTGCCCCCCAAACACCAGCCCCACTAACACCCAGGATGCCCCCACACCAGTCCACAAAACACCCAGGATGCCACCCACACCAGCCCCACTAACACCCAGGATGCCACCCACACCAGTCCACTAGCACCCAGGATGCCACCCACACCAGTCCACTAACACCCAGGATGCCACCCACACCAGTCCACTAACACCCAGGATGCCACCCACACCAGTCCACTAACACCCAGGATGCCACCCACACCAGTCCACTAGCACCCAGGATGCCACCCACACCAGTCCACTAGCACCCAGGATGCCACCCACACCAGCCCAAATAACACCCAGGATGCCACCCACCCCAGTCCACTAACACCCAGGATGCCACCCACACCAGTCCACTAACACCCAGGATGCCACCCACACCAGTCCATTAGCACCCAGGATGCCACCCACCAGTCCACTAGCACCCAGGATGCCACCCACACCAGTCCACTAGCACCCAGGATGCCACACACACCAGTCCACTAACACCCAGGATGCCACCCACACCAGTCCACTAACACCCAGGATGCCACCCACACCAGTGCACTAGCACCCAGGATACCACCCACACCAGTCCACTACCACCCAGGATGCCACCCACACCAGTCCACTAACACCCAGGATGCCACCCACACCAGTCCACTAGCACCCAGGATGCCACCCACACCAGTCCACTAACACCCAGGATGCCACCCACACCAGTTTACCTGGAGTTTACCTGGAGAGAGTTTCGGGGGTCAACGCCCCCGCGGCCCGGTCTGTGACCAGGCCTCCTGGTGGATCAGCGCCTGATCAACCAGGCTGTTGCTGCTGGCTGCACGCAAACCAACGTACGAGCCACAGCCCGGCTGATCAGTCCACTAACACCCAGGATGCCACCCACACCAGTCCACTAGCACCCAGGATGCCACCCACACCAGTCCACTAACACCCAGGATGCCACCCACACCAGTCCACTAACACCCAGGATGCCACCCACACCAGTCCACTAACACCCAGGATGCCACCCACACCATCCACTAAAACCAGGATGCCCCCCACACCAGTCCACTAGCACCCAGGATGCCACCCACACCAGTCCACTAGCACCCAGGATGCCACCCACACCAGTCCACTAACACCCAGGATGCCACCCACACCAGTCCACTAACACCCAGGATGCCACCCACACCAGTCCATCAACACCCAGGATGCCACCCACACCAGTCCACTAACACCCAGGTACCTATTTGCTGCTAGGTAAACATAATAGGTGTAGTTTCCACCCGCCCGGGAATCGAACCCGAGAGCTTGAGCCACCAGGCCAGCCAAGGAGCTGCATAATGAACATATTAAACTAATAAAAATAACTCTTACTACTCTACTAACAAATATGTTCAGTTTCTGGTGAACATTATAAATAATGTTACAACAAAGTGAACATTGTCAGGTGAAATATACAACAAATAAATAATGTTTTTTTTTTGTTTTAAAAATATCTTACAATATGTAAATCACACATTATAAACTATGCAAAGAAATAACAAAAAATAATACAATTTAATACATATTTACCATCATTGATGTTTATATCTTAAAATATTAGAAGAAAAGGAATAAGAAGAAATTTGATCTTTCCTTCATTCTAATCCTCATCAAAAAAAAGCAATATAATTTTAATGTGATTCGCAAATTATTAACGTAATGAATAAGTTTCAGAAGAAATAGAGATGAAATAAGATGATGCGTGAAGAAGGTTATAGTGTCGTACCCCCTGAGTCACCTCAGTCACCTCAACACTTCACTAACTGGCTGCAACGGGATAATTTACACTTGTAGGAGCTGCTGACACTACTGCACGAGCAGGAAACATCATGAACCAGTGTAGGAAGTGTTAAGATACATTAATTTCCTCCGTATTGTTATTATCATCAAAAAAGAAGCGCTAAACCACAAGGGCTATACAGCGTCCTTCGTATTGTAATAACATGTTTATTATGCCACTATAATTACCTTCTCCATAATTACTATAATATTTGCTTTGTTTCCTAAAGTCTCAGATCTTAATGAAATAACAGATCCTGGATTATTATTATAGCCCCTCAAGGAAGGTTCCTTGATGCTGGTGAGGGGCTCTTGATTTAGGAAATTGGATCTGTGCTCCAGTTCCCCAAATTAAGCCTGAATGCCTTCCACATCCCTCCCCAGGCGCTGTATAATCCTCCGGGTTTAGCGCTTCCCCTTGATTATAATAATAAAATTATTATTATTATTATTAATCTTATCATGGGGAAGCGCTAAACCTGTAGGATTATACAGCGCATGTGGGGGGGATGGAAGGTATTCAGGCTCAGTTCAGGGAACTGGAGCACAGATCCAATTCCTAGATCAAGAGCCCCTCACCAGCATCAAGGAACCTCCCTTGAGGAGATCCTGGAGAACATTACCAGCAAGTGTCACCATCATTATAATGCGCTGTATAATCCTACGAGTTTAGCGCTTCCCCTTGATTATAATAATAATAATAATAATTAAAGACATATTAACATTTAAAACTGTACTATTGTTCACTTAACTGCCTCACTTTTTGTACATGTAAAAAAGAAAGTACTCAGTAAACTGTATATAATCTACTTGCTAAGTAGTCTAAGTATTTACAATAATAATAGTAATAATAATATATATATATATATATAATATATATATATATATATATAATATATATATATATATATATTATATATATTATATATATAAAATTTAATATTTTTATTAAAAATAATAATAATTAGGTTAATCTGCCTCAAAAGTACCACATTCTAGTGATTTTCTTTTGTACTTAACTGTTTTATTATATGTTAACTTTATTCAGTTTACTGCAGAAAAATATAAAGTTGTTTGCTTGTTTATCATGTATGGATGACATTAATATACCAGTATAGTAGTTTTAGGGATTTAAATAAGGACATGCAGTAGTATCTTAATTATAGTTGGATTATGATGGTTGTGATAACTGTCTCTGGTGTGATTATGGCCATAAATTCCACCTGAGATATTGTTACATCAGAGTATGACAAGATTTGTTGGGATTTTTAATCTGGAGAGGGTTAACAACCTAGGATAACCCAAGAAAGTCGGTGCATCGTCAACGACTGTCTGTCTTATTTATACTGGGGTCCTTCAGTCTTGTCCTCCAGGATGCATCCCACACCAGTCGACTAACACCCACGTACCTACTTACTGCTAGGTGAACAGGGACAACATGTGATAGGAAACATGGCGAGGGCCTGGGTTCAATTCCCAGCCAGGTTAGAAACATTGGACATGTTTCATTACATCTGTTGTCTATATGCCCCATCAGTAAAATAGGTACCTGGGTGTTAGTCGACTGGTGTGGGTCGCATCCTGGGACATTGACCTAATTTGCCCGAAATGTTCAGCATAACAAGGGGCTTTCTATATAGTAGTATGTCAGTGATGTCAGCTATGGTCTGTATACCTGTATACAGATATTATTTTTTTTTTTTTTTTATTTAACAAGTCGGCCGTCTCCCACCGAGGCAGGGTGACCCAAAGAGAAAGAAAATCCCCAAAAAGTAAATACTTTCATCATCATTCAACACTTTCACCTCACTCACACATAATCACTGTTTTTGCAGAGGTGCCCAGAATACAACAGTTTAGAAGTATATATGAATAAAAATACACAATATATCTCTCCAAACTGCCAATATCCCAAACCCCTTCTTTAGAGTGCAGGCATTGTACTTCCCATTTCCAGGACTCGAGTCCGGTTATATAAAATAACCGGTTTCCCTGAATCCCTTCACTAAATATTACCCTGCTCACACTCCAACAGATCGTCAGGTTCCAAATACCATTTGTCTCCATTCACTCCTATCTAACACGCTCACGCATGATTGCTGGAAGTCCAAACCCCTCCCTCCAACCTTTTCGAGGACGACCCCTACCCCGCCTTCCTTCCCCTACAGATTTATACGCACTCCGTGTCATTCTACTTTGATCCATTCTCTCTAAATGACCAAACCACCTCAACAACCCCTCTTCTGCCCTCTGACTAATACTTTTATTAACTCCACACCTTCTCCTAATTTCCACACTCCAAATTTTTTGCATAATATTTACACCACACATTGCCCTTAGACAGGACATTTCCACTGCCTCCAACTGCCTCCTCGCTGAAGCATTTACAACCCAAGCTTCACACCCATATTAGAGTGTTGGTAATACTATACTTTCATACATTCCCTTCTTTGCTTCCATAGATAACTATTATTATTGTTGTTTTTATTATTGTTTTTATTATTGTTTTTATTGTTTTTATTATTGTTTTTATTATTGTTTTTATTGTTTTTATTATTGTTTTTATTATTGTTTTTATTATTGTTTTTATTATTGTTTTTATTATTGTTTTTATTATTGTTTTTATTATTGTTTTTATTGTTTTTATTTTTGTTTTTATTGTTTTTGTTTTTATTTTTATTATTGTTTTTATTTTTATTTTTATTTTTTATTTTATTATTTTTTATTATTTTATTGTTTTATTTTATTATTTTTATTTTTATTATTTTTATTATTTTTATTTTTATTTTTATTATTAATTGTGAAGTTTGCATTTTTTATCTAAAAAAACTGCCTAACTTTATCAACTATCAAATAATTGGTATGATTAGGTCTCATATACTTAAAAAACAGTAATGTCAGGAGACAAGGCTTAATAGCTAGAGCCAAGACTAGAACTACCCTCCACCCCCTTACAAAATTGAAATGCATACATATGAATCTGCATAGACCTTTATGCATGTACACATGTATACATGTGCATACAAGGATGTTTGGAAATATTTCTTCCATCTGAGTGGTTAGGAAGTGTGTAATGATCTCAGTGAAGTTGTGGAGGCAGGTTCCATACATAGTTTCAAGAACAAGTGCAACAGGGCTCAAGAAGCTAAGAGGGAGCGAATCTGAAGAGTGGTAAGTTAAGAGGCAGGGCCGGGATCTGAGAATAGATCCCTGCAACCATAAAAGCAAGCATGCATGTGCACACAGACACAGATAGACACGGAGAGACAGAGTGAGAGTAAGCTAGACAGTCATGTCTAATTCACTGTTATTATCTGGGCTAATGTCTTTTTTTTTTTTTTTCCAGCAGTTTCTTGGCAAAACCTGAATGAAATGGGAGAGTTTTCAGGCTGGGGTGACATCGCCATGAATGAACAAAGAGGTGCAGTAATTCTTAGCCTTTGTATTTGTGTTCAAGGTGTTGAGAGTAATTACTTAATTAGGGTTACCTGAGTTGTAGCAGAGCTATACTTGTGTTTCTACAATTAGTTTGTTACACAAGGTTTTCAAAGGTGGCAGTGGTTGTAGCACACACTACCTCATAGATCCCACTCCAGTATCTAACAGCATTTCTGATGAAATTTTTTCTAGTATCCTTTCAGTGCTGCATTTTTATCAGTTCTTGCTTCTTGTTGATGGTAAAAAAAGATATAGGAGAATTGATCAGTTTTGCACACTGTAGTCACAAGGATTGGCACAGATTCAGTATTGCTATGTTTTTAAAGTCTTTTTATAATTTCCCCATGTTGCCCACTATGGCTATTAAAATTTGAGTCCTATATTGCTTTTGTGTGTCTCCAACTTCCCTTGAGCATTATGTACTCTGCCTCAAGTTGTACTAGTGTGACATCTGGATCTGGATGTTCTGAAGGTCCTCTAACAACAGTGCATGGAATGCAGTGCGGTATTTATATTAAAAGGAAGGAAAGGGTTTTCTGTTCTGCCATGGGTCCAGTGACCCTTTGTCACACACATACATACTTTCATGAGAGTTGTTGCATGAAGCAATTGCTCAACTGAAGCTTTACTAAGAAGTAAATTTTAAGAGCAGACTTGCAATACATCCTATATTTGCACTAATCTATTTGAATCATAAGTATTTTTATTTATTTATTTATTTATTTATTTATTTATTTATTATTAATTTGGACATGATACATAGATATACTGTACAAAGAAATACAGTGGTTAAGTGTAACATGCCAAAAGTCCCTTGTACACAGAGCATTATGGGCAGGCTTAAAATTAACTTAAGATTAACTAAAAATTATAGTAAACAAATAACAATTAAGCACAAATGAGTATTTCAAAGACAGGTCTTATGGTCATTTACAGAGTTGCTGTGCATTCAGTAGAATGGAGTATTCTGTTAGGTAATGTAATTAAAAATTATATATTCTCTTGCCAAATAAGTTTTGGGAAATTTACAAGTATGTATTTGTGAGGGTTTATCTACATCTGAAAAAAACATTTAATTACATCAGCAATTCACCAAGAACACTAATTATGTATTATTGAGCTTATTTTCCATCTTGCACAGCACTAATACTAAAATGCCAGCATATACATTGCTAAGATAATACAGTATATGGTAATGTAACTGCATTTTGTTGACCACTGTAATGCAATGCTCTGACCATTGGATATTCAGTACCTCCTTTCAGTGTTTGCATTTTCTGAACATTAAAGTCTACTAAAACATTATGATGGATTCCAAATACAGCATCCAGCAATTGTCTTGGTTAAAAATGTGTATACTGTACTTGTACAAATTTTCACCATGTGAGATTTATAGCATTTGAAAATTATCAAGAAGTGTCCACATATGCAGTAGACTGTTAATTAAGAAGCGATCTTCTATGACTTTTTTTGTTATATAATGGTTGAAGAGTTGCAGCAATTTTTTTATCATAACGCCGTGATTTTTATTTATGACAGTGTAACTACAGGGAAAAGTAGCTAAAAGCCCATACAAGAAGGCTTGTAATCTAATTCATTAACTACACATTGTCTGCCTTTAATAGTCCTTCACTTACCTAGCTGTATTTACATGAATGTTGAATGTGTTAGTGATTGATGTTAAGGTGTGGAAAATACAGTAAGTAAACAAAGTGAAGGGATAATCTTGTGGCACTGCTACGATAAACATTTGTTTGACTTTCATAAGGCCAACACAGGAAAACCAACAGATGTGACTAGATTAGTATTTCCTGCATACTAGTCAATACATGCAGTGTTTTCATATCCTTTGCATCATCACTGCTAGAATGTGAGGCAACTGGAGACTATATATACAAATTGAGAGGGACTCCAAGATTTATATATCCTTTGCTTCCTTACATTTGAATAATCAGTGTTACAATGAGAGGAAACTAAATATAATGTGAATACAGTACCTTGTATATACCATGCATCGGTTCATTTGTTAAGCTTTTATTTTGTGAAAATTAAAGACTTTCATTTTCTGGATTAACAGGAACTACACCTGTCCATGAGAGGGACTCTGAACAGTGTTTATATACCTTCTGCTTATCCTTTGCACAAAGGTTAACAAATGAAAGGAACCTGGATATAATGTGTATACAGTACCTACTTCATATACATTTGTGCATCAGTTTAGTTGGTACACACACACACAGCAGTACCTTGACTTACGAGTTTAATTCGTTCCGTGACCAAGCTCGTAATTCAATTTACTCGTTTATCAAATAAATTTTCCTCATTGAAATTAACTGAAATGCCATTAATCAGTTCCAGCCTCCAAAAAACCACCCCAATTTTTTGTTACAGGTTTCTAAATAAGAAAAATGTATTTATAAATAAATGATTTTTGCCTTTTTTGCCAGGTCCCAGCAATGTTTTAGAAATGCTGGAGTATGTGTATATGAAACTTCCTGAAGTATGGTGCAAGATGAGTGTCACTCCACTGCTGACAGTGCAGCAGTGGAGTGACATTTGATGATTGTGAGCTGTGGTGGCTTTATTTTACACTGTTAAACGTAAACGTGTCTATCTGTTTCTATCTGTCTACCTTTGTTCATCTCTCTCTGCTTATGTCTTTGTCTGCCTGTGTTTCTGTCTTCCTGTCTCTCTGAAGAGAGAGAGAGAGAGAGAGAGAGATATATATAGAGATATATTATATATATATAGATATATATATATATATATATATATATATATATATATATATATATATTATATATATAGAGATATATATATATATATAGAGATATATATATATATATATATATATAGAGATATATATATATATATATATATATAGATATATATATATATATATATATATAGAGATATATATAGAGATATAGATATATATATAGAATATATATATAGATATATATATATAGATATATATATAGATATATATATAGATATATATATAGATATATATATATATATATATAGATATATATATATATATATATATATATAGATATAGAAATATCCAAAATTTATGAAATAGTAATGATTTAAAATACCCAAGAAATGTAATTGATAAATCTTTTAAAGTTGCCAAAATACTTTTTACAATCCAAAAAGGGACAACCAGCCTTATTCAAATAAAAATATGTTGGTTTCTCCCTTACCATGAAAACTTGGTTGATATGCCTTCTCTTCTTAAGACTTTAATATTAAAGTTGTATTCAAAATTCTCGATACAGTAAAAAACTTTTGATAAAGAATTCCCCCCAAAATGCTGATGGATGTTCTATAAGATTCCTTGTAAAATTTGCGATAAAGTTTATTACGGTCAAACTGGTAAAAATCTCGAACTAAGATTAAAACAACGTAAATATAGCATTAGAACTGGACAAGATTCCAATGCTCTATTTATTCATGTAAGAGATTTTAACCATCCAATTGATTTTCAAAAAGTTGAGAAAGTAGTATCAAGCAATCCATGGTCGACAGGAATATAATTGAATCTTGTTTCATAAAAAGCAGTTTTGACAATAATATGAATATTTCCTTTGGGTTTATATAAATTAGATCCATTTATAATTAATAGAATTTGGGAAGAATTTAATAATACACTGGACAAATAATCTTTAAATTTCTTATTTTTTGGGTAGAATAGTTTGTGGGGTGAGTTGTGCCAAGGACCTTTCCAATGGCTCGCCGGGGTCACGTGTTTTAAACTGTTGTGGGATCTGATAGTGAGGTGCCGACCAGCACCCCTTAAATAGCTTCCTTGGATGCTTTACTTTCATAGTTCCTTGATAAGGGTGAGTAGTCACGAAAGCGCTTGGAATTTCTCTATTCTTTCAGAGTGGTTGTTTTGCATATTCTGAAATCACCTGTTTTACTGTGATCTTATTGCATATATAGAATAAGATATATATATATATATATATAGATATATATATATATATATATATATATATATGTTGTGTGTATCTTTATACGTATATGCTTCTAAACTGTTGTATTCTGAGGGACCTCTGCAAAAACAGTGATAATGTGTGAGTGTGGTGAAAGTGTTTGAATATGATGAAAGTATTTTCTTTTTGGGGATTTTCTTTCTTTTTTTTTGGGTCACCCTGCCTCGGTGGGAGACGACCGACTTGTTGAGAGAAAAAAAATATATATATAATATATATATATTTTATATATGAGATAATAGTTTTACCAACGCTCTTATATGGGTGTGAAGCGTGGGTGATGAATGTTGCAGCGAGGAGAAGGCTGGGGGCAGTGGAGATGTCATGTCTGAGGGCAATGTGTGGTGTGAATATAAAAGCAGAGAATTCGTAGTTTGGAAGTTAGGAGGAGGTGCGGGATTACCAAAACTGTTGTCCAGAGGGCTGAGGAAGGGTTTGTTGAGGTGGTTCGGACATGTAGAGAGAATGGACGAAACAGAATGACTTCAAGAGTGTATCAGTCTGTAGTGGAAGGAAGGCGGGGTAGGGGTCGGCCTAGGAAGGGTTGGAGGGAGGGGGTAAAGGAGGTTTTGTGTGCGAGGGGCTTGGACTTCCAGCAGGCATGCGTGAGCGTGTTTGATAGGAGTGAATGGAGACAAATGGTTTTTAATACTTGACGGCTGTTGGAGTGTGAGCAAAGTAACATTTATGAAGGGATTCAGGGAAACCGGCAGGCCGGACTTGAGTCCTGGAGATGGGAAGTACAGTGCCTGCACTCTGAAGGAGGGGTGTTAATGTTGCAGTTTAAAAACTGTAGTGTAAAGCACCCTTCTGGCAAGACAGTGATGGAGTGAATGATGGTGAAAGTTTTTCTTTTTCGGGCCACCCTGCCTTGGTGGGAAATCGGCCGGTGTGATAATAAATAAAAAATATATATATATTATATATATATATATATATATATATATATATATATATATATATATATATATATATTATA